GATCACAATTCTGAAAACAAAATAACAAATTACAAACGCAAATGCAAGTCTAAAAAACAAAATAATTCAGAAAGCACAACAACAATTCAGAAAACATTATAACAAATCAGAAAACACAGACAAATTCGAAAACAAAATAACAAGTCAGAAAACACAACGACAAATCCGAAAACAAATGAACAAGTCAGAAAACAACGACAAATCAGACAACCGGAAGAGGTAAGTATAGTTTGAGACAGCGCCATTGGTTTGGGATTACTCACCGCTGACTGGACGAGACATCTGTCAATCAACGTATACAGGGAAAAACCAGCCGAAGAACAGCAGAGTCCTGGTAGAAAGTTCGGAGCTGGTATTAAAGTAGCTCAGTTTAAATGAATTGTATGACTTGCCATTACTCTACGGGGTACTCTATTGCTAAAAATACTGCTATTTTCAATTAGTGTAAATAGAATCCATTGCTAATACGAGATTTGAAAAGGGAGGGGAAAAAAAAGTTTGGCAAAAGGCGGGATCGAACGCAGGTCGATTGCATCAAAAAGCCAATGACATACGTTTATTCATCTGCACCACTGGAGCTGATGTTTTACAGCCACTTTTAACTAAATTTGTTTTCGAATTTGTCATTGTGTTTTCTGACTTGTTATAATGTTTTCTGAATTGTTGTTGTGCTTTCTGAATTGTTATTTTGTTTTTTAGACTTGCATTTGCGTTTGTAATTTGTTATTTTGTTTTCAGAATTGTGATTTGCTCTGCACTTCTCGGCCACTGTACTTGACAGCCTCAGATGCCATTCACTTTCATTGTAAGGGAAAATCCTTGTGAACCTTTTCAGAATTCCTCATTTTATGTTCCATAGAGGAATTGAGGAACAACATCAAGTAAATGATGACAGATTTTATTGTTGATACCTGCGCCACTCACCGGTCTCGAGTCCCACGGAGGAGCTCCGGAAAGATAAAAGGAGGAGTGACGAAAGAGATTTCTCTCTCGTCCAACACTGTCGTCACTCCTCCTTTTATCCTTCCGGAGCTCCTCCGTGGGACTCGAGACCGCAGTGAGTGGCGCAGGTGTCGCGCATTAGCATTTCCTTCACCGGCCTTGCTCCGTTTCCACTGCTCTCGGCCCCGCCCCTCTCTTCACAATTGTATTATTTTATTTTCCTTTACATTTTCTTCATTTGAAAATGACTATCTAGCTAGCCAAAGAAACAAGAAATGTCATGAGGTTGAATAAATGTTGACAGAAATGTATTGAGTTTAGTTTATAATTTTATTTAATTTTATTTTGTAACATTTATTTGAAGATCCAGCTAGCCAAACACTATCCATAGAGGAAACAATAAATGACTTGAGGGCAAATAAATGTTAACTGAAGTTTTATTTAATTTTATTTTATTTTGGGTAATCTATTCCTTTACCAATTATTTAAGGAACACTATCCAACAACATTTTTTTTTTCTTCCGTTTTATTGTAGTTTATATATTATTTTGGGTGATCTATTTCGTCAACATTTATTTCAAGAGAGTTATCCAGTTATGCAGGTCAGATTTTTGATTTAGTTCAACTGATGTACTCTGATATATCTGTAAGGTTGAAAGTTTATCTTGCTGTCTGTCACAGTTCAACAAGAGCACCTTTGCAAACTGATAAAACCAGTCTCATTTTTCTGTAGGGGCATTCCTTCCGAAAGTTGTGCAGAGCAGTCTTATGTCGCTGCTCGCCATCCCGTTCATCGCAGTGGTGGTGTTTCTGTTGGTCTGGAAGGTACATGTGGTGGTGTGCTCTGCTGAGCCTTCAGCATCACAGCCGTTTCGATTTCAATCCTGATTGGAATTTTTCTTTTTCCTTTTGTAATGCAGATGAAATCTAGAAGAAATGCCCCACAAACTGAACGGAGTCCAGAAGAAGGTCCCGCCCTTTTCTCAGGAGAGGAAGCCAATATACCCCCATTAGATGTGGAGATATCTGAAAAGTAAATATTCAAGTCTGCATAGTGTGCTGTACTTTCCATTGAGTCCTAAAATATTAAAAAACTTAAAAAAATGAAATACATATTAAAGGGATAGTTCACCCAAAAATGAAAGTTCTGTCATTAATTACTCACCCTCATGTCGTTCCAAACCCGTAAGACCTCCGTTCATCTTCGGAACACAAATTAAGATATTTTTAATGAATTCTGAGAGCTCTCTGACCCTCCCATAGACAGCAATGTAATTACCACGATCAACGCACAGAAACGTAGCAAGGAGATCGGTAAAATAATCAATTTTTGAACCGTAATTTTACGAAGCTACGATATTACTTTTGTTCGCAAAGAAAACAAAAATAACGACTTTATTCAACAATTCGTCTCCTCCACGTCACCCTAGTGCCATTTTGGAGAGTATCCACTGATCGTAAACAACGTATACTGTTCTGTGTCAGCTGCGCCACACGGATACGTTTTCTATGTTGTTTACACTTTGATTTGAATGAAAACAACGTATCCATGTGGCGCAGCATGTTTACGTTCAGTGGATACTCTCCAAAATGGCACTAGGGAGGAGACGAATTGTTGAATAAAGTCGTTATTTTTGTTTTCTTTGCATACAAAAAGTAATCTTGTAGCTTCGTAAAATTACGGTTGAACCCCTGATGTCACATTTCTGGACCTTGATCGTGGTAATTACATTGCTGTCTATGAGAGGGTCAGAGAGCCCTCAGAATTCATCAAAAATATCTTAATTTGTGTTCCGAAGATGAACGAAGGTCTTACGGGTTTTGAACAAATTTAAATTTGTGAAATGTTTTGCATTACTATTTTTTTATGATTTGAAACCTAACAAATTTAAATTTGTGAAATGTTTTGCATTTCTATTTTTTTATTTATTTTTTGACCAAATATCATTTTAAAAAATGTGTACGTTTTTAAGTGTTGCTTAGGTATCCAAATATTATTGGGGTCTATTTTTGTCCTACCTATTGAGCTGTTTCAACACACCAGTTAACGCCAACTTCCTGTTTTCCTTTTCCAGAAACAGATTAAATATTATCATGGCAGTGTAAATCCAGCCCCAGCTTAACCAACGCAGGTAAATAATGTTCTTATTCTAAATGAAGTACCAACTTAACCTACTTTACAGCATATCATTTCACAGAGGCCGCAGCCATTCATTTTGTTTCTCATTAACAACATTTCAGTCACTCCTTCAGACGGCACAACGGACAGGAACAAACAAGCACCACCTCCGAAAGATTCTCTTACCGAACTTCTAGTTGTGAAGGAAGGAATCATACTGGCCTGAGACGCAACAAACTGCTCTTTGAGAACTGATGCCCTCTCTTATCAACCACTGCTGAGCCCTTCGGGATAGATACAGTTGCTCCTTCTGAGAACTTCTGAGAGTCGCTCTTTAAAGCTTCCTTCTCCTCTTGGAGACCGCAAGGAGACTGTGCCGGAGGAATTCGATGAAAAACAGAATGAAAGCAACACAGCATTGGATTCAGCTGGAGGCGTCAAATAGCCAAGCGCATTTTTTGGAGAGCAGGAGCCGCAGTTCAGAAGGAGGGCAGCCATATTGTTGCTTGAGAGCAGATGGCTATCTAAAAGGAGTTAAAGCAGAATTGACTACCTCCAGCGGCACTGGTCCATCTCCTTCTTTCTTTCTTCATCCTTGTTCTCTCTCTTTCTTTTGGTCTGGGTGTCCAGATAGACGCCTTTTCAGTTTTTTGAGTGCTTGAATCAGTAGTCGTTCTCAGATTGTATCATCTGATTTGTGAATTGTTTTTATTGTCACTATAGACTGGTGGTGTGGACTTAATTTATTTATTGTCTGAATATGACGACACCTGCATGGCATCAAATATCGATCGAGACGAGGAATACCCAATCGTCTCAACCTTAAAATATCCAACAATCCTTAATCGCTTGTGTATTTCGACAATAAACTATGCATGCTAGCCGCAACCTTCTAAGTACCATTATAGCTCCTCACAGATGCCATTAAGCGTTTTTAAAGCTATATATCAGTACACCCGTGGTTTATGCAGTTAGTTTTACATTATGGCTTTTTATGAAGTCTGCTTCAGTGTTTTTGAAGTCATTTAGTATGAGGAAATTTCTGGTGGCTGCTAATTTTATAGACGACTCAGCTTTTGTCAACGGTCAAATCTGCCATACTAGAGTGAAATGCATCAGTCAGACTTTAAATATGGGTCAAAACTAAATCAATTAGTATTACGTCAAACAAAACGGTACACCTCACACCACAAAACGCGACTTTTTCGAATACAGGACGCCATCGGAAGATCTCGCTAGCAGTAATAGAAAACCTACATATATGCTTTTACTCGTAATTTTGTGCCTTTTCACAGCATGGCTCTCCCTGTAAAGATTAATTTTGGATAACCAGCCATATATTTATTACGGAGAAAAAAAATAATATAATAATGATATTGCACTAGTTATATTCAAGAAAATTCCTCTAGGACATTTCAGATGACTTTCCAAGAAAAGCATAACACGATCCGGTTCCGGCTTCGGTCTCCTGCTGAGTATGAATCAATTTATGCATGTTCACATCTGACGTTTTACATGGCTTGCGCTTAATCTGTACTTACTGATTTATGATAGCTACGACTCATATAGACAAGTGCTAATGATTTCGAGATGAAATTCAGCTGAGTGAATAAAGACTAATCATCTCTCACATAAAAACTATTGTATGACTTCAAAAGTCTTTGAAGGTACTTGTCATGTGTTGCTGCTGTGAAGAGCACAACGCAGGAGCAGGATAAGGAAACCACATTTATTCTTAACAGAAATTCTTAGAATTGGGAAAACACAAACACTATAACATTGACGACACCAAACACTAGACCAGTGTTTCCTGAGGAGCCATGGAAGATCAGGGGACTCGGGAGGCCATGGCGGAGCAGGCAGTTCAGGGGGCCATGGCGGAGCAGGCAGTTCAGGGGGCTATGGCGGAACAGGCAGTTCGGTCTCCGTGGCCTCGACACTTGCCTCGACCACTCTGGTCGGAGACGTATAGCCCACCCCAAAATTTTCTTGGGGACAGAAGCCCTCTCTGGGTCGGACTCGGGGACAGGTGCCCTCACTGGGCCGGACTCAGGAACAGAGGCCCTTTCTGGGCTATACTCGGGATCTGGGGCCCTCTCTGGGCTTGACGTGGGAACAGGAGCCCTCTTTGGGTTCCTGTTGAGCTCTGTGACGTGAGTGGGCTCCCTGTTGAGCTCTGCGACGTGAGTGGACTTAGAAGCACTCTCTGGGCTTGACGTGGGCTCCCTGTTGAGCTCTGCGATGTGAGTGGACTTCCTGTTGAGCTCTGTGACGTGAGTGGGCTCCCTGTTGAGCTCTGCGACGTGAGTGGACTTCCTGTTGAGCTCTGTGACGTGAGTGGGCTCTCTGTTGAGCTCTGGAGAGCATTCTGGACCGGACTCTGGAGAGCATTCTGGACCGGACTCTGGAGAGCATTCGGCCTCCTGATTCTGGTCTGGGGCTAGAGCCATCTCACGAATCGGGTCAGGGGCTAGAGCCATCTCTCGACTCTGGTCAGAGGCTAGAGCCCACAGTCTCTTCCTTCTCATTCTCCTCTTTTGGGCTGAGGATAAGGAGATTGGAGCTGGCATCACAGGGCTTGACAGTGGAGCGGCCGGCGGGCTTGAGAGTGAAGTGGCCGGTGAGCTTGAGAGAGGAGCGGCCGGCGGGCTTGAGAGTGGAATGACCGGCGGGCGTGAGAGTGGAGCGGCCGCTGTTTCTGGGCTGAGGACTGGAGAGGAACTTGGGAGAACTCAGGGAAGCGCAGGTGGAATAGAGGGAGCGGGCTCATTGGAACGGTATGTGGAGGGTGCCGGTGGATGGTGAGCTGAAGCACCCACATGCTTCCGGATGGGAACAGGATGATTATCTACATCAACTAAGAAATCCAAGCCAGTAAAATCGAGGATGTAATTAATAAAGTCAGCTACGGGTCTATAACAGTCATCAGGAGAAAGGACTCGAAACAAATTATCATCGTCGAGTCCCATCCAGAAGTAAGCATTAACTGTGTGATCGCTCCAGCTCACCAGATGTACAACACTCAGGAACTCAGGAGCAGGAAACTCAGGAGCAGGAAAAGGAAACCACATTTATTCTTAACAGGAACTCAGAGAACTGGGAAAGCACAATCACTATAACACTGACGACACCGAACACTAGACACAGGAAACACTGGGCTTAAGTAACAAGGAACTAATGAGGATAATTAAGGAAACACAGGTGAATGGAATGACAATCAGACATGAGGGAAAACTAGGTCACAGAGCACATGGGGAAAGAAAACGCAACAAAACAGGAACAGAGAACGTCCAGGGGTATGACAGTACTGATACATATGGACCAGTTTTATGATGCCTTGTATTGCTGCACAATAACAAATCATTCACTTTTATTATTATGTCATTCACTTTTTATTACACTTTTATTATACAGACAGTGACCAGGATAGTCTTCAAAAAATCCCCTTTTTGTGTCTCACGGAAGAATAGAAATAATAACGTGAGTTTGCAAGGACATGAGGGAAATGATAAGAGAATGTTCATTTTTAAGCGAATTGTTCCTTTAAGAGTGTGTGAAGTTGTTTGTGGTTATTTGATGGTGTTCAAAAGGCTTTTCTTTCCATTTGCTAGGAAATAACACGCCACAATCACATGTACTGAGTCTGGTTAGGGTTCAAATTTCATTTAAATGATACCATTCTCTTTCCTGTTAAATGAAACAATACATTTGGAATGTAATTATTGTGAGACTTTTTACAAAAGCTATTCCAAGGAATATCCATAATGTAAACATTTTAACAGAGCATTTATTACTTCAGTATTGTCTAGGACCCCATTGATTTTCTGTATGAAAAAAAAAAAAACAGTAGACCCACTGGTTAAGAATGACATGAGGGTGAGTACATATAAATTTTTAGCCAAACTATCCCTTTAAGTGCTTTTACTCCTGTAGCATTTTAATCCCCCAACTGGTTAGAGGCTGTTTATGGGCTCAATACAAAACCTGTGGAGTGAAAATGCACTACACATAAAGCTACAGATCACATACCATCAAGGAGCTGTTGTAAAAGTTAGGCCCAACTCTGAGCTAACAAGAAGGTCGAGACATTTTAGTTGTTTTATCATCAGCTTTCTTGCTTGCTGTGGCGTATTTGGCGCTACCTAATGTAAACCTGCTGTGCAAAAAATCCTCCAGGTCCTTTAAACACCCCTGCAGGGTAATACTTCCTTGTTAACTCAGTAACATTGCTCACTAAAAAACAATTATGGAAGAAACAAGCGTTGTTAGGAATAATTTAAGGGTTTAGGAAGAAGTAGCGCCAAAACTGGGAATTCGATCTTGTTTATTTGTGCAAGTTAGGAATATATGAACAGTCATTTCTCCCTGCCGTGCTTGTGTGGGCAGCGGCTTCCTGCTGTGCGAATATGCAGGCGCTTCGGCGCGCTACAATAAACTCTGCCGTCTCTTGAATCTTGAACCCAGATTAAAGAATGCATAATAAAGATAAAAATGAAAGCGTTTTTGCATAACAGTCTACGGCTCGCTCGCCTCTGCCCTTCTCAGCGGCCCCCTCGCATCCCATTAGTGCCGTTTGTGTGGGTTGGTATATGCTGGTTGAGAGCCCAGGCAGATGACACTATAAGCCTGTCCCCCTGAATGCCAGCCTCTCCTGTGACAGTACGTACATTAACAAAAAAAGGGCTTTTGAATGTGTGACAAAGGTCTTTATGAATTTAAATTGTGTGCGTTTTTTCTCGGCGGTGGGAATCGGCACAGGACCTTAGTCACAGGTCATGTGGTTTAGGGTTACTAAAAGCCTCTACCAATAGAGTTGTGTTGTGCGCTTTTTGCCCTTTTACAAAGCCCTTTCTGCAACCGCGAGAGAAAGCGCTCACCCCCAGGTGGGGAGTGGAGACGGACGAGTCGGGTCCCTGGAGGCCGTAACCAGAGGCTTATCAGAGCCCGACGCTGTTCTGTAATACTCCTGTGAAAGGCCTTCTCCGCCGCCTCCCAATAGCCGCGTCTCTGGGCAGGAGGCTGTAATGGCGATCTCGGTGGCCCCTCTGTAAGCAACGAAGGAGCGAAAAAGGGGGGTCTGTCTCAGGACGAGGCCAGAGCCGAGCTGGGACGGAGGGAGAGATGACACTGCCACGTAGGCGTGACAGAAGAGAGGAGAGGTCTAATGAGTCAGAGGGGAAAGGCTCGGGTTCTCCTCAGGGGTCCCCCCCGTGAAGCGTCACCTCACGGGGCGCAGGTAGACACGCCCGGCATTCGAACACCACCGCGTTTCTCACGGGCTCCCCGAGGAGTGCTTGTGTCGTGGCTCAAAAGGATTGGATAAAGACCAGGAAGGCTTACACCAGTTCAATGACATTCAGCTTAAAACCGCGGATGAGTAACCTGAGATTTGCTGATATGACTAAGGCGAACACACTGTGGGATGAAGATAAATGTCGCGCTGCTGTGCGAGTCATGTCACGATGATCGGTTGCTTTCTTCTTGGCTGCTACGCTGATTGAAATCCTAAAGTTTGTTTTGCCAGTAATTTTGCCAGCTGATACAACTGGCGGCATACCATGGTGGCCTGAAAGGCTTCCCGTGAAGAATTTCGAGTGAAACTGGAGCACCTCAAATTGTGTTGAAACTGATTTCAGGACAGGCCAGGATTATGCATTTATCACACAGAAGCTCTGAATAACAATCTTTTGTCAAAGCATTTAGCAGTCACTTTTAAAAAGTAGTTATTTGTCCTTCTGTGCAGGAAAAATATATAATGCAATTCAAATTTTGAAATTATCATTACTATGTGTAGCTTAAGAAAAAAATCCAGTGCGCCACAATAATGTAAAATGCATTCAGTGCTTCAAAAAAATTCTAAATTCATTATATAACCCCACGCATCACTCTGATTCCAAGGAGGATAAAGGGTGTGTAAAAGGAGGTGTTTTCTTTTATCAAAATGAGCACTGTTGGGTGTTCATATTGTTTGCTGCTGTTTGAAATGCCGATTCTTTTCACACTATTCCATTGAATAATTTCAAAAGAGTAACTTGATAACCTTGAGGGTTTGGCTGCACGTCTAAAATATATTAGACACCTTTCCCTGGAGGTTTTCAGAAATAACATGAAAGACACCTATTTCATACATATATGTCGTGGGATACAGCGAGTGCAATATTGTAGGCTTATTGAACAATAGGGCCCAAATTATTGTTGTGTCTTCCTAGCAGATTTATCTTGATATTTCAACTTGTGGCTGATTTTTTGATTATATAGCTATGCAGAAGTATTCATATCAGACTCTTAACCAAAAGAACAAATAGCCTATATAAATAGGCTATCATCTGAAACAACTGTGTAATAGTTCACCATTTGTGCATAAAATCTGTTTTCACATATGAATCATCAGTGATTTCATCATTACTGTTGCACTAACATTTAATGTTGCAATCAGTTATATATAGGCTAAATATTTTATATAAAATTATATTTATAGTTTATAATTATACTATATTAGAATTCAAAATTAATTTTATATAAAATGAGAAATTCGAAATAAGATAGTGTGTCGTTTGTCAACGACAAATTGAATTAGTTATTAAAGTTTAAATTAGTTGT